AGCTGAAATGGGAGCAAGAGGGATAGAGAGAAGAGAGAAGATAAAGAGAGAAAATAGAGGAGCAAGAGATAGAGAGAAAGGAGGGAAGATGAAGAATATGGTATTGATTTGTTGAAATTGTAAGACCTATGCTATTCTATTTAGCTGCTATCACTAAACCATTTTGTTTGTGTGTGTCTATCTATATATTGTTTGAAAATAATAATAATAATAATAATAATAATAATAATAATAATAATAAGCGTGGTCATTATCTATTTGGCTTGGTTAAAATATGTACATATATATATTTAAGCTCTTATTTATTCTCTTACTTTTGTCATTGTTTATCTTATATATATAGTTAGTGATTGATTTTTTGTATAATATAAAGTCATTAATTATTAAAATAAAATGTAAAAAACTCAGTTTATAGTGATTTAAAAATATGAAATATATTGCATCATACTTAAAAATTTACAAAAATTGATCAATATTTATTTTTAATCCAATAAATATGATCATGGAAAAAAAATATGCGTATCGGTAAGTTTTTTTCAAATTGTGCAAAAAATAAAAAAATTCACGGTTCCGGTTACCGCAACCGTTACACTACGGCCTTTACATCCCGCAACCGCAACCGCGTCACCGCCACCGTTACGGCGACCGCAACCGCTTTTCAGAACCTTGCTTTTAACTTTCACGTTTTTTATTCAAGTTTAACCTAATATGAAACTATATTATCCCAAACAATTGCACCAGAAAGTTACTCAACATTACACATCATATATATGTTGTCAACTCAAACCAAACATCTTAAATTTAATTTATCTTTTATATTAACGCTTATTTCTTCTCTCGTTCCTACATTTTTTTTTTATTCAAATAATATTATTGTCACAATTGCTATCAACCTTAGACTTTTTACAGAAAGTTAAACCTAATACAAGACCAAATTATCCAAAGCAATTCTACCCAAGATTTACCCGACATTACACACCACATTTGTCACCTCAAAAAAAACATCTTAGGATTAATCTAATTTTTATATTGCCACTGAAGAGAAGGCGATGAAAACAATGGCATGGAAATGTATTCTTACTTAATCATATACTAATACCACTACATAAGGAAGACAAGTCCAAAATACAAATTCTAACCTACATAAACATGACAACACCGAGGATATCCACGCAAAACAATTTTTTTTTTTTTCACCTAAATTAGGTTGATAATTCCTAAATAATTTTATAAAATTTAATTTTAATTGTCACAAACACATTAAAAAAAAATTAAAACACTGATAAGTACACAACACAAATTTGCATTGCACTTGCTGTCCCCCCCCCTCTCCTCCCCTCCTTTCTCTCTCTAAAATCTTTCTATATATATATATATACACGATAAAGTTATAACTTTGATCTCTCTATATAAGTTTTCAAAATCTTCTATTAATCTTTTATTTTATGAGTATTTCTATTATATATGTATATGAGATGGTCTTCAAAAAAAAAAAAAAAAATTAAAAATTTTATTTTGACCTTCTATTTCATGAATATTCCCACCATGTATTTGAGATGGTTCTCGACTACTTTAAATATTGGAAAATGTCTCGTAACTCAAATTTTGTGACTCAAAAGTGGCTCAAATGGCCAAAACGACGTCGTTTTGGCCATTTTTATGTTGTTTTGTACTCAAAACGACGTCGTTTTGACCATTTGAGCCACTTTTGAGCCACAAAATTTGAGCTACGTAGCATTGTCGTTAAATATTGCATAATAATATTAATTTTATACGTTGGAGTTTGGTCAGAAATACTTTACCCCAGTTGTTCGAAAATAACCGAGGAGGCCCATCAAAATGCAATACTTACTCTGTTAACTGTAGGTGTAAATTGACATTAGTGCCCTTCTTGCATCTTTTCTTTCCCTCTCTTTTGTCATATATTGGTTTATTCATATTTATATGTACACACTTGTACAGCCCTTGTTGCTGTCATTGCAGATTGGTAAATAGCAGAGAATTTATGTCCATTAAGTCCCAATCCGACAGTCCGATCAGAGAAGGCTCTTTAGAATGGAGGATTCTCTGTCAGAATGTGTGGTTTCCCAACTAGCACTGTTATCTAAAACAGTTCTCCAAGCCAAAATGCTTCCTCTTTCTGTAATCCTTGGGAAGTCCTCTATTGGATTTTTTCACCCACATTTGATTTTTTGCATGGGTCCAAGAAACGGTGGTAGATGTATTACGATTAGGGTTTTGAAATGGAATGAAGATGAAGATGGGGATCTTTGATTGTTTTTTTTACAACAGGGGAGAAAATTGTTTCAAAATCAAATCACAACAAATTTTACCATATAAAAATGACAAAAATAAATTTTTAATATAAAATTAGGAGTTATCAGTCATTAGATATGGCTCTTCTGGGTTGACATATCCTTTCCTTTTGTAAATAAACTAAGAAAAACAAGCCGAACTGGAATTGTTGCTAAATAATTTAATTAAACAAGCTTTTTATTTATTTTTTGACTTTTTGATTAAAATATAATATAAAAAAAAATTAGTATGTTTGGGATAAATTTTTGATTTTTTACGAAAAGATATGCAAAAAGTAAAAATAAAATAAAATTTTTAACTTTTTGATATAGGTTGTTTGCTTTTTAATTTTTTTAATGACTTTTTAATTTTTAGCCTAAAAAGTGATATTGCCAAACGAGGCCTTAAAATATCTCCAACACTTATTCTTTTTTTATTATTATTATCTTAGAGTAGAGATTTAAGTTAAAAGTTTCATCCAATTCCAAACGTTTCAACGTTAAATTTTTAATTTTCACCGAATAATCGGTTGACTAGAAAGACGATCAGAAGGATGTTCAGATGATCGTCCAGCCTAGTATAAATTTTTTTCAATTTTTTTGAATGTGTCGTCCATCCAGTTGTTCAGCCACTCTTTCACTTTGTTGATTGGTCAGTCGTCTATCAATAGTTACCGGCGAAATTTGATGAAAACTTAAACGTTTCTTTAATTTGATGAAAAAAATTAAACTTCTTTTATTTAATACCAATTTAATAAAACAGTTAAAATATTTATCAATTTTTTATTAAATTTAAATTTAATAAAAAAAATTGAGATAGTCTCACGTCTATAGAAGTACTCCATCGTTGTCCATCACCAACAGGGTCACCCGAAAAGAGCCGTGTGGTCCGGGCCAGGACAAATATTCCAAACCTATACCCTGCTGACATGGCCTACATGCTGGCCCCACATGTCCCCTGGCTTATAGGGCAAAGCTGACAGAGCAGTGGGCCCATGTGTCCCCTCTTCTCCAGACAACAAATACCCTCACTCAACCAGAAGTTATTTGGAGTTTTGCAGCAATTCCCCCCATATTTTTTTATAACAAACAATATTTGGTAATTTGAATTTTTATAATTTAAATAATTTGAATGTTTTAAAATAATGTCATTTTAAAAATAAAATGACATCATTTTAATATATTTAAATCATTCAAAACATATGAATTTAAGTTACCAAATATTTTTTATTTTTTTATTACAGATCTTCTACAACGATTTTTCATAGAACAATTTTAGAATAAGTTTTTGTACGGTTGAATTTTTTTTAAAGTGATTATTAACATTATTGTATCTTCAAATTAATATTATTATACTTTTAATTTTTGTAAGAATATTAATTCATTTTTATTAGACTTTTTTTTTAAAACAAGATTTTTATTGAGTAGTTAAGAAATAAAAATGTTTGATTAGGCTATATAGAGGTTATACTAATTTGACCATAAATTATATCTTACAAGATATATAATACTACTCTCATAAAATTACATATTTGTTAGTGAGAATGGAGTGCAAACTAGGTAGTTTACAAACAAACAGAAAGAAAGGATTTATAATGCGGAAAAACAAACTGCTACTTCAATCAAACAATTTTGAAACAAAACAGAGGAGAAACTCTAAATCTGAACAAACAGGAACAAAACAATACAATTCTAACTTAAAATCTTTTGCAACAATTCAGAGCTTCTCCATCCTTCCATTTGCAGAACTCTCTTTGCTTAATCATCTTGAATTTGGCAGCCTCCGAAACAATGGTGTTTGAATCTTTTTTCTTTTTTGGATCAAGAATAGAGTTTGAATTTGAATCATCAGGAAACTCCTTCAGAAGCAAGCTTACATTTTTCAACAATATTTCCATAATATTATGTAATATTACATATTCACATGATTAAAAATAATCATATTAATTTGAAGATTAAAAATAATCTTATTTCTTTTGAAACATGTTATATATAATCATATTTTTCTATCTCATTTCTCACTCCTAAATACAAATGAATAAAATACGCAATTATTTTTTTGGAATATTAATACATATTGCTATTTCTGAAATTACAACACAGAGAACGTCAATAATAATTTTTCCTTACGTGCCACCTTTTTTTTTTTTTTTTTTGATCAGCAAAAGAAATTTTATTGATAAAAAAAAGCAAGATACAAGCGACAACGTACATCAATAAAGAAGGAAAGTGCAAAGAGCATCATAACTAACCTTACGAATCTCAACTATATTGGCACCAATAAGAGCATCTCCAATGCACTAGGCATATAATACTTGTTAGTTAAAATGCCTAGTGTGATTCACTTTTTTCAATTCCAATGCACTAGGCATATGATTAGGCATTTTGACTCAACTCATATTCACTAGCTACATGTAGCTAGCCTTCAACGCTAGACAAAATGTATTCAATCATTAAGATCATTTCCCTCCATCTTTGTTGTTGATGTGGCATTCTATAAAATTAATAGTATTTGGATAAATAGCTAAAATAAAGAGCATGGTTGGAGTAAAAACATAAAACAGTTGATAGGCAAAATAAAATATATACTTTATAGTAATATTTAGATAGGTAAAATGCCTACTACCGTTGGAGATGCTCTAAGAAAGCACAATTTTTTACTAACAATTAACCCATGATTGGTGAGAGACCGATCAAAAGAACCAAAAAGAGAGAAAGGAGAGAACAGTCCTAAACTAGCAACAATACAGCTACAAGGCCAGTAGCAGCCTTGCTATCTGAGGTCTTGTACGAGCAGCAGAACCAGACCAGCAACCACACACACGGCAACTAGCTGACGTGCCACCTGACGTAACAACTTTTAAAAAAGAGCTCCCTTGAGTCATTGCGCTCACTATAAATTCTCTTGCTCTCATTGCTCAAACCACAGCAAACATTTGGGTAAATCTTCAATCATTAATTAACAGTGCAATCCGATTTACGAAAATGGCCATTGATTCCAGTTTGTCATTGCCTCTCGGTCATCCGGCAACGGAGAAGGACGCGAAGGCTCTTCAGTTCATTGAAGAGATGACAAGGAAAGCCGACGTGGTCCAAGAAACGGTTCTGGGGGAGATTCTGAGCCAGAACGCCGACACGGAGTATCTCCAGCGGTTCGGACTTGGTGGTGCCACCGACAGAGACACGTTCAAGTCAAGAGTGCCGGTGGTGACATACGAGGATCTTCAGCCGGAGATCCAACGTGTCGCTAATGGAGACCGCTCTCCAATCTTCTCTTCCCACCCTATCTCGGAATTCCTCACTAGGTAAAAACCATGCATCAATCACTTGTATATATATATAATCGCAAACACGGGAAAAAATTGATGCTATGGTGAAACCCTATTGTTATTGAGAATTGATATTATCATTTGACAATAAATTATCATGCGAATATATTGAATTCTGTAATTATTAATAATTATTAGATTGTGTTAAATTGTAACTACATTTAGAGAAAAATGTTATAAATGAACTTTCAAATTTACTTACCGAAGGTACAATTACATAAATTTCATGTGTATTAATGTCGACCTCCTTATATTTATTTATAGCAAGAAAACAATTCTTATGAGATTCACTTACCAATAGATTTTACATAAATTTATTAATATCGGTCGTACTATTTGTAATGTAAATTTTTTTTTACGAGAACACTTTATTTATATACTACATTTAAATATAAGTTTAGTTTATATGATATCTCCAAAAACTAAAAAATTTGGAAAAGATATCTCAATTTTTACATACAATTGATTTTACAGCATATATTTATAATAGAAAAAATAATATGATTATGTCATTATTATGTGTTGATTATGGAGCTTGGGATTTTCAGCTCGGGAACGTCTGCGGGTGAAAGAAAACTCATGCCAACGATTCATGAAGATTTGGACCGAAGGCAGCTACTGTACAGCCTTCTCATGCCAGTCATGAACCTGTAAGTACTTCACCATTTTTTTCATTCTTCCTTTAATTGTTTCCAATAAGTGTACAATCATATGATACATACAATATACTTGGTAGCTAACTCGTACAACTCAGTTTGATAACAACAACACTGCCACAATCACCAAAATATTGGATACAGTACTCATACTTACTTATTTTTTGTTCAAGAACTTATATGAATTTTGAATTGTAACAGTTATGTTCCGGGACTTGACAAAGGAAAGGGCCTGTACTTTTTGTTCGTGAAGGCCGAAACAAAAACCCCAGGCGGGCTACTGGCCCGTCCAGTTCTCACTAGTTACTACAAGAGTGAGCACTTCAAGACCCGGCCATACGATCCGTACAATGTCTACACGAGCCCTAACGAGGCAATTCTCTGCGCTGACTCATTCCAGAGCATGTACACCCAAATGCTCTGCGGCCTCCTCATGCGGGAGCAAGTCCTCCGCGTGGGTGCGGTCTTCGCCTCGGGCCTCATCCGCGCCATCCGCTTCCTCCAACTCAATTGGAAACAACTGGCGGAAGATATCCAAACCGGATATCTAAACCCTAAAATCAACGACCCTTCTCTTCGACAATGCATGTCAAATATTCTCAAGCCGAACCCAGAACTTTCAGAATTCATAACAAAGGAATGTGAAGATGAGAAATGGGAGGGTATTATTATCAGAATTTGGCCCAACACAAAGTACCTCGACGTGATCGTCACAGGTGCAATGGCTCAGTACATTCCCACTCTCGATTTTTACAGCGGCGGTGAATTGCCACTTGCTTGTACTATGTACGCATCGTCGGAGTCGTATTTCGGTCTCAACCTGAAGCCGATTTCGAAACCCTCAGAGGTTTCCTACACCATCATGCCGAACATGGCGTTCTTCGAGTTCATTCCCCACGACGCGGCGGCGGCGCCTCTCACACTCGACTCGCCACCGCGGCTAGTCGACCTGGCCGGCGTGGAAGAAGGAAAAGAGTACGAGCTGGTGATCACTACATATTCCGGGTTGAACCGGTACCGAGTCGGCGATATCCTCCGGGTCACCGGGTTTTACAACTCGGCCCCGCAATTCAAGTTCATTCGGAGGAAGAACGTGTTGCTGAGCATCGATTCTGATAAAACCGACGAAGCAGAGCTCCAAAAAGGCATTGAAAACGCTTCGATTCTGCTCCGAGAATTCAATACGAGTATCGTCGACTACACCAGCTACGCCGATACGAAAACTATCCCTGGTCACTACGTGATTTATTGGGAATTGATGGTGAAAGAGCCGTACAATTCCCCGACCCGGGAAGTCCTGGACCAATGTTGTTTGGCTATGGAAGAGTCGATGAACTCGGTTTATCGACAGGGTCGGGTCGCGGACAACTCAATCGGACCCCTCGAAATCCGGGTAGTGAAAACCGGTACGTTTGAGGAGCTAATGGACTATGCGATTTCGAGAGGAGCCTCTATCAATCAGTATAAGGTTCCGAGGTGTGTTAGCTTCACACCCACCATGGAACTCTTGGACTCGAGAGTGATGTCGGCGCATTTTAGCCCATCTGCGCCGCATTGGACACCAGAACGACGACGTTAGGGTTGGAGATGTGAAGAAGTTTAAGTATGGGAATAATAATAATAATAAGAGAAAAGACCAGAAAGAAAACTCTGTTTATCTACCAACCAAACATGCCCCAGGGGATTATGTATGGACAAAACAATTTATGTTTGTAGTGTGTTGCCTTTTATCTCTTTTGTGTGTAGTCTCTTTCTGTTTTGTTTGGTGATTGTGATGTAAGCTTTTGCAAAGTGTCTTTCTTTTGAGTTTTGCAGGGTTTTTGTCTTTGTTTGTGTAGGTTTCAAATAACCTTTGTACGTTTGTTTGGTGTAATTGTGACTACTAATGTTGCTTTTGTCTTTGCATATCCATGATATTTCTCTTTCGTTTCAATTATGTCTTTACGTATCCACGTTGACAAATTATAAAATTTTATACAATCTTTTTATATATATGCAGTCGAGATATGAATCTCACTCGAATTTTTTATATGTAAAAGAGTTTGTTTATATTTTTGTCATTATTTTCTTATTTATTTTACATATTCCACAATACTTTGAATATAAAATCGGATATAAAAAGCATTTAAATGCATATAAAAAGGTCAAAAAAATGAAAAATATTAAATCATTTTATTTTATATGAAATATCCTGTAATTCTGGTTTATCGCTTTATTCCACCCTCTGTAGATGCATGTGATCGATTTGGTGTTACCAAAATCAACAAACAAAATAGGACAAAACTTGTCATGCATGTTGTGAAATAAAACAATAATAAAAAATGGTTTATAGATAATACTCCTTTTTTTATTCAATTGAAATTATCTATCAAAATAAAATTTTTATTTAAGATTGTACTAAGAAGCTAAATCTTTTTTTTTTTCTTGTCTTTTTTCATTAACTGAAGATTAATTATATATATGAAAAGAATTATATTAAAATAAATACATAATTAAAATTTTGTTCGATGTCAAAAGAGTCTTTAAAACATAAGTCGAATTTGAGTAGGTTAATTCGTTTAGCTACACTAGTTTCACATTTTCCTAACACTTGCAGTGAATCAATTACTATATGTTTTAACATTGACATACTATAGATATGTTTTGGTTATAACTTTTTCTTCTAAATTAAAAGTTTATAATTAGATATTAGAAATTAAAAGTATTATTTTCTTGCTTTATAATAATTTTTTCATAACTTATGTACGATATTTCAGCTTTATAAATTATAAGGAAAAATTGCACTAAACATTCAAACATATATTAACTATACAAGAGTTTTCGGGACTAAACATTTTTGTTCTCAAAAGTAAAAACTTTGTTACAAAAAATAATAGACCAATTTGAGTCATTAGGTGAGTTGTACAAAAAAATTGTTACAAAAATGATATTTAGCGACAAAATTTGAAAATGTTCCTATAATAAATGTATTACAATTTCTTGTCAAAAAAGTTGACTTTTTTAAACAAAAAATAATAATAATTCTAAAAAGATAATATTTCATTACTAAATGTTTACTTTTGCCATTAAAAACAGAACAATCATACTTGTAATAATTAAAATATTTTGTCTCTAAACTTTCATCTTTAAAACTTTAATTTGTTAAAGGGCGTATATCTACTATGTCAATGTGATGAGATGTTGTTGTCATGTCCTTTTTTTTTTTTTTTTTTTGATTAGCAAAAAAAAAAATTATTGATGAAAACCAAACAAACAAAGTATGACAGAATACATCAAAAAGAAAAAAGTGCACAAGCATTATAGTGAACCATCAAGATCCCAACTAGGTTGGCACCAAGATGAGCACCAAATCATCTGTTAGCACAAGCTCCAAGCTCCAAGTTGGTGAGAAACCAACATACAGAGCAAAAGCAAAATACAAAACAAGAAACAAAAATCAGACACCAACATCCACACAAAACAAACTACTACTACTTGCAACTAGGACCACCACCCATCACTCAGCAGCACTAGCACTTTTCAACCCAGCAACCACCAAACAACAACAACAGTAATATACATTAGCACCATCAGACATCAACAACAAGCAATCAAAATGCAGCAACAACACCAAATTGCAGCAGTAGGACAACTAGCAACAACAGCACCAAAAATGCAACAACACCAGCAGTTATGCACCAACATAACAGCAGCACCAGTATTTCAACAAAAAATAAAGCTCTTGATCTGCTACAAATTGTTTACAAGTTCATGAATAGTGTACTCACACTTGGGAAAGTGAGATTTCGACCACAAAATAATTCAAACTTTAACTAGATCACACAGCTCATCCAGATGGGGTTATTAAATACACATTCATTTCTTACTTTCCATAAGGACCACATGAGAGCACAAGGGATAGATTTCCACAACATCCCATGAAATTTCTTGAACTTAAAGCTAGCCCACCAACACAACAACCCCTCAACTGAACCAGGCAGTACCCACCGAAGACCCCACCATCCTACAATATATGACCATAATCTCCACACCTCTAGACACCACAACATCACATGATTCAAAAACTACCCTTCAGATTTACAAAACGCACATAAAGTACTAGTTTCCTCACTAATCACACCAATTCATTGTAAAAAATCTGCTGATTTAATCCTACCCTTCCAAGCTAGCCAACCAAAAAAGTGTACTTTTGAAGAAGAAACATTTTTCCAAATAATAGACAGAGCAACTGAGAACAATCATCAACATTGGTCAGAACAATCGGAGTAGTGTTAAGTTTTGAAAAGAATGCACCCACCTCAACCATCTCTCATTCCCTTAAAGATCTTCTAAATTGAAAACACCACTCTCCAGAAGCACCCCTTTGAATCAACATTCCTCACAATAAAACATTACTGTTAGTAACCAATCCAAACAATCTTGGAAAAGTCTCTTTGAGGCATTGATTATTTAGCCACTTGTTCTCCCAAAACTCAATTCTATTCCCATTGCCAATAACAAAGTCCACATTTGAAAAAAAAGTTCCTGAGATGGGGGTTGCAATTTGCTACTCCAAGAAAGTCACCCCAAACCTTTGATAATCTGATTGAATTCTCCATAAATGAGAATCATCTTCCACCAGACATTGGATATTTTGAACATATTACCCTTTTCCACAAAGCCTTATCTTCAATCGCAAACCTCCACCACCACTTAGAGAGCAAACAATCATTAATATCTCTGATCCTCTTTATTCCTAGCTCTCCATGATCCTTACTTTTAATAACCTCCTTCCATTTCACCAAATGTAATTTCCGTCTTAAATCTGAGCCTCCCCACGGAAAAGTAGCCTGAACCTTATCAATAACCTTTGCCACTCCCTCTGGAATTTTAAACAAAGATAGATAAAACAAAAGCAGACTTGATAACACTGATTTAATTAAAGTTAGGTGTCCACCGAACGATAACATTTTCCTTTTCCTCCATGCTAGCTTAGACTTGAACTTAACAACAACAAGTTTCCAAGTTAGCAATCTCCTTGGACTAGTCCCTAATGGCAAGCCTAAGTAAGTAAAAGGTAATTTGCTAGACTTGCAATGCAATCTAGCAGCAAAATCCTCCAGAAGCCCCCTTCCACACCTACCTCGTAGACATAGCTTTTATGGAAATTTATCTTTAGACCAGACATTAATTCGAAGCATCCTAGAATTCTCTTGATAGTGAGCACTTCCACCCAATCTGCCTTACAAAAGATGATGGTATCATCAGCAAATTGTAGATGAGATATGACTTCATCACTGGCCCCAACCTTTACCCCTCTAACCAATCCCAAATCCTTAGCTCTAGTAAGCATAACATTAAGACCTTCAACAACAATATTAAAAAGAAAAGGTGAAAGGGGATCACCTTGTCTAAGTCTCTTCTCCGGAAAAAATTCTGGAGTTGGAGACCCATTAACAAGGACTGAAACTCGTGCTGTAGTAACATACTCCTGCATTCAACCAATCCATTTCCTTCCAAAGCCAAAGTTTCCAAGCATTGAGAATAAGAAATACCAGTTGACCGAATCATACGCTTTTTCAAAATCCAACTTAAGAATCACCCATTTCTTATGCGACCAATTCCACCAGTCCGCAATTTCATTCGCTATCAACACCCCATCGAAAATATTTCTCCCCTTCAGAAAAGCATATTGTGCCTCACTAACCACCATAGGTATTACCCTCTTCAATCTGTGGGCAAGAACTTTAGATAAGATCTTATAAACTATCCCAATAAGACTTATTGGTCGAAAATCAGTAAGGCCCGTTGGACAATCTTTTTTTGGAACTAAAGTAACAAAGGAACTAGTAAGACACTTAGTCAATCTGCCATAACAATGGAAATCATTTAAAAATTGAACAATCTCCACCTTAAACACCTTCCAACACTTTTGAAAACATAACAGATTAAACCCATCTAGCCCGGGAGCCTTATTCCCATCGAACTCCTTAACAGCTGCCTATATTTCAATTTTAGAGAAGGCAGCTTCCAACTCAACCTTAGTATCATTACTCCCAATTGATTTAAAGACTCCTCCAAGCTTAGGCCTGACCTTCCAAGATTCTAAAAATAAACATTTGAAGTGTCTATAAACTTTTTCCTTGATAATCACCGGATCCTCAATCACATTGTCATTAACAGTCAACGAATTTAACGAATTCTTATTTTGACGACAAGAGGCGATGAAATGAAAGAACGTGTGTCACGACCCAAACCCGCCCCTATGGGTTTAGCACCGTAACCGGCCAGTAATCCGAGAGTACCGAAGGCCTGCTTAATAGTAATACAGCAATACAGAGTACAGGGGCTGGCGGAAGCCAATACAGTAAATAAACAATGTCCAATGAGCTGTGACAGTCTGTATGCCAAAAAGACTTTTCATTCAAATATATACAGTCAGACAAAACAGTATGTACATATATACGATCATTCAGTTCAGGGACCTAATCCCTATCAAACAGTACAGTAACAGTCTATACAGTCAAACAGGACAAATACAGAGACAGACGGGGAGTTTCAAAACACCCCTAAGCCGTAGCTTGACAAGCTCAGAACCTAGCAGTGAGGCACAACGGTTGGCTTGACAAAATTGGAGTTTACCCCGACACTTCTAGCTGCCGTCTGGTGCCCGAACACCTACATATATATATGAACAGTGAACTAAAGCCCAGTGAATAACACAATGCGTAAAGGGGTTAAGAATGAATGTCCTTACAGTAATGAAAACAGTTCATTAAATCAATATTTCAGTCGTTCAGTCGATACAGTCATATGTGGTACATCTATTAGCATAACAGTACAGTAAACAGCAGGTCTTAAAAAGACCGAGCAGTAAATGATGGCCATCAGTCAGTAACAGTAGTGGTTCCAACGAGGGAACCGACAGAGATCTCTGTAGCAGTAACAGTAAATA